TATCTGATGCCCATTTGGAAAGTGTAGCAAGTTTTACAATGGAGTTATCGATTTTTAAAGCCATTTCACAAGTTTTTGGAAAACGGCAGCTGAATGAAAGGCTTGCTGACTGACCGGCAGCAATGTGTGGCAGAGCCGGCTACCCAAGCCCGCGTTTTGCAGGATAGAGATCAGACAGAGCATAGCTAGAGAGGGAAGAATCAGCTTGGCTCCGGCCACAGGACAGCATGAGGCGTTCTGTTCTGCTGTCCAGGTCTATCTGCCATGCGGCTGGCCATGGCTAGCCGATAACATCATTGCACTTACTTCGCCTATGCTGACCCGGTCTTGTTTTTTTACTATAACTTATGATCGCAATACAATATATCCCATCGAGACATACTATTCGAAAGCCCGAAAAATTTCCTACAAGCTGATGTTAATATCGATAAGACGATAACCCATTTATATGAAAGTCATCTCATAGTGATCCCCTTAAACACGGCAGCTATTCCATCGAACCCTGTACAGCATAGCACTCACTTCGACTACAGGACACACACCGCATCCGCCACAAAACCCTCACCTGTTCCCTACGGAATGTCATTTCCCGTTCCAGCTGTGATAATTGCGACAAGAACCGATCATTCTCAAGCAAACTGGACAGATGCCACATGTGGAAAATGGATACCCCCGCGAAAAACAGCGCGACGCGGACCGTCCAGTTTTGGCTCGCGGTGTTGAGCTCGACGACGGCCTCTGCAGGGATTTCAGCATTAGCGAACATTTGCTGGGCGGACGGGCGCGGATGCGTTGGATGTAGTTGGCAATCTGACCCGTGTCTATTTGCAAACAACAAACCTCAAGAGATCCGTAAACTAAAAAAAACACGGATCATAAATTGGAAGATGGAGAAACGGTAAATAAAAATAGGGAGAAATAATAAAATGATCATTGATCATTTTTTTATCAGTGTCCACTGTTCAACACGTCACGTGTAGCCGGTGTAGGTAGGTGAGCGAAAGAGCGAAGAAGTGGCGTGGAGAGGCGAGCTTATGCGCTAAGCCGACGAATTCGTTAGTACTTGCATTACACCGGCGCAAATAAATTACAGTAATATTTTCTGATTTATTTTATTTAAACTACGTTTGCTTTGAGTACTTTTTCCCGGTGTGCAAACCACCGTCCAATTGCTGTAATTTCCCTTTTTTCTCCTTACCGGTTATCATGTTTAAATAGTTTAGCGGTCTGTGCGTCGTTCGGACTGATTGTACTGTATTATATACAGTACTTATTAAGATGGGACTTAAATTTTAAGTCCCATCTTAATAAGTAGCAGAGAATAAAACAATAAAATATTGCTATGGTAGTATGGTGTAACTTGATGTTTAAGTTGAATGATTTAATAAATAATGAAATTTATATAAATAAATAACAGAAAGTGTCGACTATGAAAAATAAAAATTACTTAATTTACTGAAACGATTGTAAACGAATGCTTTACTTAAATACTGATTGATTTCTATTATTTTTTTGGGATTTAAGCCATGTAATTGGTGTAGCAGTTGTTATTCCACAGTTCCACTGTACATGTTAACAGAGCTACTGGGTATAATAATAATTATTATGTAGGTGATATTTTGTGGAATTTTAGGTCGTTCGTACAGGTTTATTCAATGTTATTTCGAATACGTATTCGCATTTTCGAAAAACTGGATTTATTTGTATTTAAGGGAGAACTGTTTATTGATGCGAATTTTGATTAAGAAGGAGCTCGCTTTACGGATTAATAAAACGTTTTGCCGCGGAAAACGAACAGACTGTTGAAGCTATGTTGTAAAGGTCATTGGTTGTTTGCAGTGTTCATGTCCTGACTCCTGATTTACTGGGGTGAAATGTGCAGCGATAGCTGGTGATGCGGAAACTGCATTATGCCGTCAGCAGCAAAGCGTATTTTGAATTTTCTAGTAATTTTTTCTCGCAGTGTTCCTGGGCAATTAAAAATTATTAATTTTGCCCGCTTCAATAAGCAAGCTGACTTGTGGATCAGTACAGTGACTCCAATGCGTAAATTAATTTTGGAAATATTTCATAATTAATGCTGGTTGCATTTATTATATTTTCAAAAAATGCAGAAAATTGTTGAATTTATGAGACTGGTATTAAAGCAAATTGTATTAATATTTTCCTTGTAATAAAATTAATTTTATTAAAATTTCGCCAGAACTGAAGTTGTGGCACTGAGCCGCAGTTCAAAGTTATCATAGTCAAGTGGCTATTCTGAATTTTATTTTTCAAATTTTTTCGATTTTCGTTGGAATTTTTGTAGCCACAAAAGCACCGCTGCAACACTTACCAAAAAAACATCTAAAAAATTGCTGCAGAACGCATAGTAAACAAAATAAAAAACATATGTAATATTTAAAAATTCAAAACTTAACACAAATAAACTATGAAAAGTGCTCTTTAAATATTTTTTTCTACATGGTTTAAAATGCCGCTGGATTTGCAATATGTTGTTGCAGCAGTATCCTGTTGTTCAAGTGCCGGTACAAAACATTAAAAGCATGGATTGAAATATTCCCGTTGAAAATGACCGTATGTGGGGTCAACGCTACGCATGGACTTCAATGTATTTATTATTTCTATGTACATAATTTACGCGTATAATTTATCGGTCAAATCTAAACATTTTTACTTATGAGTCCGGTTTGAAATGCAGGAGATGGGTGATTCGCAATATGGACAATTAGGCATTATAATGCCTTAATTGAAAATTAATTACTTAATTAATGCTTTATTGACTTAATTATTTGCTTCCGTTGATCGTTTTTCTTTTCCGAAAACTGAAACTGGGGCATGAAGCAAAATTGCGAGTTTACCAAGATATTTTGTGTGGATTGCCACGAAAAGTGTTCGGAGATAATAAAAACTCGATTCGGTCAACGTCGTATTAGTTTAACGAATAAACATATAGTGACGAAACTGACTGCTCATGAAGAAGTACATTGTATAAATAAGCGATAACAATTTAAATCGATTTATTGTCGCAGATTTTGAAGAATTTGTAATAATTATCGTTTTCAACGGCGTTTCATGTGTGCGCGCTAAGAGCCAAATAGTAAGATTTCGTTCTTCTTAACGGCTGGGCCGTTCAACGTAGGTTAGTGGCTGTGGCAGTAGTTAGTTAGTGTAGAAATACCGTAGAACGTAGATGCAGTGCAGTAGAAAGTAAAGTAGCGTAAATCAGCAGCAGTAGTACCGGTTGCCGTACATGTGAGTTTATCAGTCGTACCAGTAGCGGGGGCCGCCAAGCCCGGCTGATATACTCGCATGTGCGGCACCGGCGAAGCCGGTTGCCGTACATGTGAGTTTATCAGTCGTACCAGTAGCGGGGGCCGCCAAGCCCGGCTGATATACTCGCATGTGCGGCACCGGCGAAGCCGGTTGCCGTACATGTGAGTTTATCAGTCGTACCAGTAGCGGGGGCCGCCAAGCCCGGCTGATATACTCGCATGTGCGGCACCGGCGAAGCCGGTTGCCGTACATGTGAGTTGCCGAAGCGGAAGCTGTGGTTCCAGTCGCTTTTATGTACAAGAAGGCTAGAAAAATCCTTAGCAGGGCCAGAAATATCCCTATCAAGTATCACGGCCTTTTTCCCCTAGCAAATTCAAGCGTCTAGCAAATGATATTTTTTCCTCTTTCTGAATACCTATTGTGCAAAAGTGGAGCCTAAACGAGTTTTAATTTATAATACACAAACCCAGACATGGCAAGCGCGGATCGAGTCCGTTGTCTGATGAAACAGGCTGGCCATGACCAGATATATGGCGCGTATGTGATTCAGTGGCATATTTAAACAACTGTTTGGCCAGAGGGTGGTCAATGCAGTTCCCCTCACTCAACTTGCCCTCTTTCATTTCTGTACAGCTTAAGTATCAGAATTCTTAGACACGCCTGAACAGCAGCAGAGGTGGTGACTGTTCTGTGGACGATTGAACCAACTGCATTCTCAGCCGGAGAATCAGCAATTCCGAAGGCCCACAACACGACCATCCAAGGTGCAATTTTTAAAAAAATATCTCGGCGTCGGAAATGCTTTTGTTATCTACATCGTTTTCATGCTCAGGCAAACCACACCAGACACCATAAATTGCTTAGTAATGATCATTCATAATTGTCAAAGATGCTTTCAGGTATCTTGATAACGTTGATTTTTTATAGGTATAAGACAGGTGTTTTAAATCATGCTGCTGCGATTTATCTGCTTGAACCTGCTGAAAACAATGTACTGTGTACAGAGTACATAATTCTCATGTTACCGAGGGTGTCGCTATCGAGCTACACGCCGGGTGTGTGTGCATTCACTTACGATATTAGACATAATATTCATTTGGGACTTACTTGGAGTTGGAGAGCAGCAGAACGCAGGTAGCGTAGCTAGCAGAACGCAGCGTAGCAGAACGCAGGTAATCGGCTAGCGTAGCTAAACTCCAGTGCATCAATTTGTTTTGCTTTCTAACAGGCACTTTCATGGACGAAAGATTGGTACACATTTGTATATTACTACGTATTATACACATTACTACGTATTTTACGTGTTGCATCTCCTGGTCGACGAGCGCCATGTTGGTAACTGAAGAAACCGATGGCGTTGGCTCCTGGTTTCTTCGAGACTGGAATACATTCTGCGTCCCTCTGCTGCGCATCAACGGCTACTTTCCATGGCGACAAACCGGGACGCAGCAGCAATTTCTTTCCGTCCCGTGGCTCTTCACCGGAGTGTTCATTGCACTGCTCAGTGCGACCGACTTGGTTGCCTTGTTCGATACGCTGTATCAGACCTTGTCGACTGCGCGTATCCCGGATAAAACTGCGCTGCTAATGACCTTCACGATGTTTCTGCAGTTCCACTGCAGCTGCCTTGCGATGCTGGCGTTAGTTCCTTTTGCGACCCGGAACCTTAACGAAACGGTCGAAGAACTCGACGTGGTTTTAAGCTTGTATCCTATTCCACAAAAATCAAGGCGACGAGTGTACATGTTCCTGATTTGTCAAGAGGTGGCTTTCACTCCATTTGCTTTCGCTCTTCTGTTTCTCCATGCTTATCAGTTCTCACCGGGGCTAACTGTGTCGTTGTCGTTCATTGATTACGAATTTCCTGTGCACCTCTACCTGTTTCTGTTTCAGTTGGGTCCGTTGATAATCTGCAGTTACGGACAACTGGCGCTGACCTTTCCCTTTCAATATATCTGCCAGTGCCTGAGATTGCAGTTTCAGTTAAATAATCAGTTTGCCCAAAATATTTTGTCGCAGTTGCAGAACGACAAAATGCAGGCGCTGGAAGCGCTGGGCCTCTTGGAGATGTCACGCGAACGACATTGGCGATTGACAAAGGTCACACGGAAACTGGACGGGATTTATTCTGGTGCGCTGTTCGTGCTGACAGGATTCGATGTGCTGGCTATTACGTTAATGATCGGTATTGCCATGGGAGGATCGTCAAAAGTCCCGCTGGGTGTTTTTGCAACCAACAGTATTGTAGATTTACTGTTCCTGGCAGGATGTGCATTTGGGAATTCGTTTTTGCTCTTCGGACGGATGATTACAGCGGCCTCCGTAAATTCCCAGGTGAATTGCACACATTCATTCTATTACTGTAACTTTATTTTAACAGTTAAGTGCTATATTAGCTACGTAAAAACGACAAGAGTTGTACGGCTTATTCTAGTATTATAGGCACGCTTTCCGTATCCGGTCGATTTTAAGGCAAACTGTAACGTACTCTGTATACCTGGTTTTCAATACTACAGGCGCAAGCAATCGTCGACATTTATCACGAATTAGCGGAAACTTTTCCTGAATGGAAGCACAAAATAGAAAGCATCACAAGCGCCACTATTCAACGCCTGCGTGATAGGCCCGTTGGGTTTACTGCGTGGAGACTATTTTTGTTGGACATGAATTTCATCATCACGGTAAACCATTGATTTCAAAGCGTCCTACATTCATTCTTTTTCTAGATGCTACAGTATGCGCATAACTTGCAGGTTATTGGAGCACTGTTGACTTACTTAGTTGTGGTGTACGAAATGACCTCGAAAAACGACGATTCCCACGGTTCTGTAAATCGCACCGGCTAATTGTACGTTGCCAGCTAATTGTACGTTGAAAACGGTTTGCGCTGGACAGTATTTCTTAATTCTTTTATTCTACAGGTTCTTAAACTTAATTTCGGTCATTCTGTTATCAACAACTCTGCTACGATTTGATGGTATATGAAATGAGATAAATTGATTTTAACCTTTGCTGTGCTTCTTTGGGGAAAGTGTAATGCAGGTGAATGAGAATTCTGAACAAAACGGAATTTGATTCTAGCTTGTTTAGGGTTTTTACGTAGACCGGACAGATGCCTGATGTGAGTCACTAGAACGACATCGAACGAGCATACAATCATTATCACAGATGGCAAATCGACTTTATGGTCACCCGTCCAGTTGGAGTGGTGTATCAAGTGCAGCATTTATAACTAGTACAAAGGTCGTAACCGCCCTTAGTGCAAGCGAGCGAGCGTGTAAACTTTTTTCTTGTAAAGACGCGGTTGGGTAAGACTGCAACAGTAGTAGTTGAGAGTCTAAACGCTTTTTGTAGCTGTTTCATATGCTGTGGAAGGCTTATGAGCAGAGCTGCTCAAATCAGTTTTGCCACCGCTACGATGCCGATATGATATCATTAGTTTTATGCCGTTTTTCGGAATTATGCCGATACAATATATTTTTGAATGTTTTCTATTTTGATTCCGTTAAAAAAAAGTATAATATTATTTGAGCTTCGTGCTGGTGCATGCGCTCCAAGAAACTATATTCAGAATTTTGTAAGATGAAATGGTTTATTGTTGGCTGAAAATTGCGTGAAAAAAAATAAACGATGGCTAACCATGAGCTAACTAAGCCTAAGGAATTACTGATCTGTGTATTGGCCAAAATATTGTTTGCGGTTACGCTCGACATTGTAGAGCCGATTTTTTGGCCGATAAGCAGCTTAAGCGGTTACTTATAATAGTTTAATGCTGAGTGGAAAGTCGGCGTGATTGACTGGCATGAGTTTAGCAGACTGGTGGATAGCGGTAGTCTCTCCATACTCCCGCACGCGGCGCAACGCGATACGAGCATGCCGCCACCTCGAGACATCTCATTCCGTGACAATGATGATAATACTGATATAAATGATAATAACGACCCCGCTGGTGATACAAATGGACTGCTATATGATCAGATGTGACCAGGCAAGCAACTGCGACGCGGCACTACTAATATAAATACCATACCGCACATTGCCGTCAATTTCGCACCAAATTCTTTACTTTAGGATGCCGGTCATTGCTTTCAAGTTGTAAGGCGCATGGAAGCCATTTAAATTTCAGTATTTTCAAATTTACGGAAAGATTGTCTTAGCTGCGAATAAATTGGCACACTTATTTACACAAACCGCGTATGCCGATGTAACCACACAGGATCTGAGAAGCGCCGGCGCAGATTTCTGTTTTAGAGACAAAAATGTTTTTCGTAAAGCTTGGTTTGGCTTGATTTATTACGCAAACGATTTATCGTTTCAACAGCTTATTCGATGTCCGGGGGCAGTAGCAACGTAGGTAACAATAACGCAGTAACGATTCCCAACTGGATCACTTTCTTGGGTAAAGGGTGCCATGTTATTTTTATGTCTTTCAGTTTAATTCGGTCGATTTTATTCTGGAACATAACGGTCGAGTAACTCATATTTACTTACCATGGTGTTGAAAACCTAGTGACCGTTTCAGGCATAAAACAATGGTTAGCAATCCAATGTCGTTTTTGGTCTTGACGTACTAACTCAACTCCACCTGGTGCAAAAGTGTTTTAGTGCTTGGATGTTGATTTGACTAAGCTTGCCAGAATCTTTGGTCTACAATAAAGTTCATGAATCGCGTAATTTTCAAAAAAATATGTCGACATTAATTTATGAAAGTCTTAAACATTTGTGAATTTTGGTAAGAGTCGTTTCAAAAACGGGGAATTTCACGTTACCTAGCTAGGAAGTTACCTATTGTACGCAATTCTGGTGAGGGCAAGGTCACGTCATTAAATTTCTGTGAACACCGGTGTATTTAAAAGTAATGACCTTTAACGCTGATCTCCTCTCTTTTTCTTTGCAAAAGAATCAAAACTCTCAATCACTGAGGTTTATTTTATTTGTACTTATGTATTTAGATTTATACACACCTTTATGGATGAGACTGTTTTGAAGTTTGAAATAGGGTGTTGTTGCACAAAGCGAGAAACTTCGATCAAGCAATCAAATAATTCGTTTTCATTTGCAAAATTGATATCTAAATTTCTATGCAGATTGCAACAAAATTTTGAAATAGAAAAAATAAATCTATTGTTCTATTTGATGCTTCAATTGCGGCGCCGCTCGGATTTGCCTTCGGTTTTCCTCGAAACAATAGTTTGCTAGCAAATTTCAAAATGACAACGGAAATTTCGTCCGTAAAACAATTTTTTTAATGAAAAGAACAACGGAATGCTTTTGTTTTAGTTGCTCGCTGCGCTGCGCTTTCGCCGCAGCTCGGCGTAGCTTTTTCTCCGCCTTCGGTTTCGACTTCTGTACTAACACGGTAACAAAAGTTCAAGCGGAACTATAAGAAGAATCTCTTTTAAATAAAAGAGCAATAGAATCCTTTCGTTTTATTTGCTCCTCCGCTCATTATGCTGCGCTCCTCGCGCCGCAGCTCGGCATCGCCTGGCTTTGCCTTCGGTTTCAGTGGAAACGGTAGTTTGCTACCGTATAATCATGTAACAAAAGGGTTAAGCTGAACTGTAAGAAGAATCTCTTCGGAATAGTAGGACAATAGAATCTTCTTGTTTTACTTTGCTGCTCGCTGCGCTGCGCTTGCTCGCGCCGCAGCTCGGCGTAGCCTTCGGCTCCGCCTTCGGTTTCCACTTCCGTATCATCACGGTAACAAAAGTTTAACCTGAACTGTAAGGAGAATCTCTTCAGAACAGCAGTACAATAGAATCCGCTCGTTTTTTACTTGCTGCTCCGCTCGCGCTGCGCTTGCTCGCGCCGCAGCTCGGCGTCGCCTTTGGCTCTGCCTTCGGTTTATGCGACCGTATCGTTACAGTAACAAAAGCCTAAGTGAAACTGCAAGAAAAATCTCGAACGTACGGACCAACCACAACGACTCCGCCTTGGGGTCAAGTAACACTCCAGTTAGCAGAGATGGAATTGGCATCCGCCGGTCAGAAGAATTATCCCTACCAGCCTTCCTGACTTCGATTCAATTCTGTTTCCGGTTTGCTGTCCGCGCTGCTCCATACCCACGATATTACCGACGTCGCCGGCGCAGTGGAGTCCTGGAAACTGAAAGCCCGTCAGGCTGAAATTCCCGAACCCGCGTTCCGGAAGTCTCAAAAGCCGTGAGACATGCCTTTATGTAACGTTTCCTTTCTACTTTGTTGCAGGTGTTCGAGGGCGATGAAGTCAACACAGCACGCCTGCTTGCCCAGTCTAGGCCAGAAGCCGGCATCTGTTTAAACGCACAACTTTCCGCCCACATCGGCAACCTGCCGGGAGACGACGAACTCATGATCAGTGTTGGTCTTTGCCTTAGCGCCACGATTTGCGAACCTCATGATTGCGTCAAATGTCTCAAACGCGTAGATGGTTACGGGCATCATGGGCTGTCATGTGTCTTCTCCGCCGGAAGACACCCGCGTCACGGCGGATTAAATAGCATCATTTGTCGAGCATGTATATCTGCCGGCGTGCCTGCAAAACTGGAGCCTCGTGGTACTTCTCACACCACGGAGCGCCGTCCGGACGGCTGCACGGCATTTGCCTGGAAACGTGGATTGTGCCTAGCATGGGACGTGACATGTGTAGACACGGTTGCGCCATACATGTCAAAGCCAACTCGATCAAAGCGGAACGGCCGCCGTGCAAGCAGAGGATAAAAAATCCAGATTGAATTTGTACCTGGTTGGCCGCTACCTGTTCGCTTCAATCGCCTTTGAAACCCTGGGCCCGTGGGGGGCCGTCAGCAATCGCATTTGCCAAAGAACTGGGGTAAAGATTTCAGCAGCAAACCGGCGAAGCACGCTCGCATGAGTTTAACGTCAGCGTTTGTCGATAGATGTTCAACGGGTAATGCGGCGTCTGTGCTGGGCACTGGGCACGATGGAAGGCCTTGATAAGCTGAAAGAAATTTTCTTGTTGTAATTCTTGTTTCTTTTTTTATTTTGCCTTAAGTTTGATTTGACCAATAAAGTCACATACCTTCAGATTAACAGAACCATAGAACCCTTTTGTTTTACTTCCAGCTCCGCTTGTTTTGCTGCGCTCGCTAGCGCCACGTTTTGGCGTCGCCTTCGGCTACGCCTTTAGTTTCAACAGTAACGAGACATGATACACTATCAAAAACAGACTCAGTTACTGTACATTGTTACAGTCTGGCAAACGTAACAGTTATTACTGATAACGCTTAGTTTGAGTGGTAACGCCGGTAGCGGTAACGCGCAACGATGAACCATCAGAATATGAATAACAACAGCGGCAATGCAGGTAACACATGCAGTGTTAATGTTAGTAATGGTAGTAATGACTCCTGACTTCGCTGGGTTTCTTAAATAGATGTTTTGCTATGGCAACGTTTCAAAACTATTTCAAAAAATTACTCAGAAGCCTTAGAATCCTTTTTTGTTTAATATTCTCGAATGTGCGCTTTCTAAGCGTACTCCTTTAAATAAATTTGTAACTTGCAAGCCTCGTGAGCGCGAATTTCTGTAGTTCATCTTCGATGAATAACGGCGTCAGTCAGCGTTAGTCATTCTAATTCCATTTCAGGTTAGCTTTTTTCAGGATCTTTACATTAAGTTTATTTAAGCAACAATTAAATGATTGTTCGGGTAGCAGGGTAGCATGTAAAGGGTAGCAGCAACGATTGCGGAAACCCACAACGGTGACAATAACATGCACGGTACTCCATTACGGTAACGGTTTCAATGACAGTATCCCGCCATAGTAATCCATTACAAAACAGGTTGCGGTAACGGTAACCCGTTACCCTAAGGATTAATTATTATAGAAATTCGGTAATGACAACCCGTTGCATAAAAAGTAATCTGTTATGGTAACAGTAATCCTCGTCTAGGGTAACGTACTGCGGTTATGGTAATTTTACTGATAGTAAACAGAAATGTTTGCAAGCGCTCTTCACGGTAAAGTTACCTGTTACGGGACCCGTAACCATAAAACACTCCACAACCTACAGCGGGCAAAATTCCGGGTCCAAATTTTACGACCACCCGTATATCACTGCGAGTTCGTCAATAATGACCAGGTTATATTTTACGTTACCGTTCCCCAGTACTCCACCCGAAGTCGCTGAAAAAATCAGCCCTGGGTCCAAATTTTCGTACCCCGGTACATTACTACGGCGGGATCGTCAATATTGACAGGGTTATAGATAACGTCACGGTTCCCCAAAACCGCTCCACCCGGGGTCGCTAAAAATCCGCCCGGGTTTCCAAATTTCCGGACCCCCTACATTACTACGGCGGGTTCGTCAATATTGACCGGGTTATAATTTACGTCACGGTTCCCCAAAACCGCTCCACCCGGGGTCGCTAAAAATCCGCCCCGGGTTTAAACTTCCGGACCCCTACATTACTACGGCGGGTTCGTCAATATTGACCGGGTTATAATTTACGTCACGGTTTCCCAAAACCGCTCCACCCGGTCGCTAAAAAATCCGCCCCGGGTTTAAATTTCGGTCCTCCGTACATTACTACGGCGGGTTCGTCAATATTGACCGGGTTATAATTTACGTCACGGTTCCCCAAACCGCTCCACCCAGGGTCGCGAAAATCCGCCCGGGTCTTTTCCGAACCCTACATTACTACGGCGGGTTCGTCAATAATGACCGGGTTATAATTTACGTCACGGTTTACCGCTCCAACCGGGGTAAAAATCCGCCCCGGGTCTAAATCCGTCCCCCGTACATTCCGGCGGTTCGTCAATAATGACCGGGTTATAATTTACGTCACGGTTGCCAGCTAATTGTACGTTGAAAACGGTTTGCGCTGGACAGTATTTCTTAATTCTTTTATTCTACAGGTTCTTAAACTTAATTTCGGTCATTCTGTTATCAACAACTCTGCTACGATTTGATGGTATATGAAATGAGATAAATTGATTTTAACCTTTGCTGTGCTTCTTTGGGAAAGTGTAATGCAGGTGAATGAGAATTCTGAACAAAACGGAATTTGATTCTAGCTTGTTTAGGGTTTTTACGTAGACCGGACAGATGCCTGATGTGAGTCACTAGAACGACATCGAACGAGCATACAATCATTATCACAGATGGCAAATCGACTTTATGGTCACCCGTCCAGTTGGAGTGGTGTATCAAGTGCAGCATTTATAATTACAAATACACCACGGAGCAAGCTACATATCTATATAATTCTACGAAAGAGCACTGCACTTTAATTCTGGTCAGTGTTCTTTCGGAGAATGCCGAAAGCCGGGCGCATAGTCGTTTTGTTTATTCTTGGTCGGATTTGGCGTTGCTGAACCTGTAACTCATGTTGCTACTTATGGGAACCTTGTTAATAAATGACATAAAAAAGTAGCGGTATGGTGACACAGTGGCGCGTCTAGGGGGGTGCCAGAGCAGCCATGGCCCCCCGTAACCTGGACGTCAAAAAAATTCGCAAGAGGGGGGTACATTGCGAATTTTTTTACGGCGGAGGTCGCCAAAAAAGCGAGAGAATACACCCCCCTTTGGTGTGAGTTCTCTGGCTCCCCCTCCGAAACCAGGCTAGATTCGCCACTGTGGTGACAAGTGATACGCATAATTCCGTCTTCCAGATTCTTGGCTAAATAGAACGTTTGGCTGAACTTGTTCTTTCGCGCTCACTGATTAACTCCATAATTTTACATGCTTCACTTGGTTACCAATACCAAGTTACCATAGAAAAAGCCTACAGAAAAATTATCACATTGTATTTTTTTATCGATTCTCATGGTCCTCCCTTGAGAATCGATGAATAAATTCCGCAGCTCTCATGTGTTAAAATAAGCGCTGCGTAGATGCTTTACAAATATACCATAATAATTCCCATTGGTGGTTTTAACTTTTAACTGATCCCTTTTAGGCTCTGCCGCTCTGGCATACTGAACATCCAGCATTATACTACAAAATTACAAATACCATACTCGTACTCAAATAACGCTTCAATGCTGTTCCTAATGAACCTCACATGTTAAGCCGGTTGTACGATCTTTTTGTAGGTCTTATTCTTTTGAATACAGACATTAGGAAAACATAACCGACAACTCACGGTGAATCCCCAGAAACCATGCAATCGGATACGTTGAGCGAAAAACCTGGCTATGGCTGGTTCGAGCGTGATTGGAAACTACTGTCTTCGTTACTACGTCTGAACGGTTATTTTCCTTGGGTGAAAAGCGGAGAGACTACTGATTCCGCTCGTTCTCCGCAGAAAGTTTCCCTGCGCGTGGTGTTCAGTGGGATCCTGGTTGTATTGAACAGTATGTTCAGCATAGTGGGCCTCGTTGATACGCTGTATCAGACTGTGCCAAAGACTGCAGGACACGATAAGCCGCCGCTGCTGCTTTCCGCCGCCATGATGCTGCTGTTCCATAGTGTAGGTATATTGTTGGTGTTGTTGTTCCCTTTTTGCACGCGCTCGCTAAACGACGCGGTGGAAGATCTTGAAGAGGTCTTAAAATCATGTGACGTATCGTTAAGATCACGAAAACATATGCACATGTTTCTAGCTGGTGAACTGATCTTTGTGTTCGGCGCCTCAGTTTGCTTATGGATTCTGCATTTCCACCAGTTTGATGCATTACACACTGCCACGGTGTCTTTTGTACCGTATACATTATCCACCCGTTTATACGTGACAATTTTTCAATTCCTGCCTTTTTGCTCCTGCAGCTTCGGCAAGATTGCTTTTACTATAAATTTTCAGTACATTGCTGGCTCTTTGTCATGGGCTTTCCAGGAAAACAACCGCCTAGCCGCTTCCCTGGTGCATAGTACCGGCAAAGACCAGTCGGAATTGTTGTGTGCTTTGGATGCATCGCGTAAGCGGCACTGGAAACTGTCGAAAGTCACGAAAAGCCTGGATGAAGTCTTTTCAACCGCACTATTTGTAGAGCTGGCATTCGATATTACGGCGATTATATTGATGATCGGGAGCACTATGGGAGGCGTGTTAAAAGTGCCTTTTGGAGTGTTTACAACAGCAACTCTGGGGGATTTATGTAATATTCATGGACGGTTTTGCCGTCGGGAGCGTCTTTCTACTCGTGTGCCTGATGATCTCTGCAGCCAGTTTAAATGCACAAGTAAAACTTAAAGTCTGCAACTGTGCTGGATAGACTGTTATGTTATTGTAAATTGGGCTTGTAACAATTACCCGTAAAGCTTTAGTTGCAGCACATAACGGCGCATCGCATTTTGACATTTAGTGTCACCGCCGGAGACAATTTCTTGCAAACTTCAATATTATTATTTCCCTGTAGTCTTCCTCCCCTCTATACCCGCAAACAGAGTCCCCTCTGCTGAAAAGCTAACGAAAAATAGTTCCATGGGGACACCAATGGATAAATTCTGTTCTACTATTTCCACAGTTATTCTCGTTTTTCTACAAGAAAGTGTACTCCCTCTTTACTGCACGTATTTAGTTTTAGATAAAAACAAGTTCAACCGTAGAGTTATTTTTAACTATTTTTATTGTTGTGGCTGTTATTATTATTCTGGTTTGGCTTAAAACAGGCTCATGGACTTGCTGCGGTATACTACGAAATAGCGGAAACAGCCGACGACTGGAGGATAAAAATCGAAGGCATGGCGATGTCGACAGTGCAGCGCCTACGGGATTTTCCGGTTGGCTTTACCGCCTGTAAATTCTTCCTGTTCGATACTAACTTCATTGTTCCGGTAAGATTCGAATTTTAAATGATACTGTAAATTATGAGCGCGTTCCTCTGACCACTGGCTCCTGTTTCCCGTTTGCTAGGTTATCGGTGTACTGCTAACGTACCTGGTTGTTATGTACGAGCTGACCACCCGTGATGAACCCAGACCATGTGGATGTGGGAATGCCAGCTCTGATGGGGATTCCAGTTGGAGTTAGGTTATCTCAATCTTTGGACTAACTGTGGCATTATCCTGAAGGCTAATTGTACTGAAACTGCTCTATCTCTTCCACAGCACACTACAATGATGGAAGATTTTTCAGTGAAGTCTGAGTGTACTTCCGTAATTCTGATGCTTTTATCTACTAGCATTTTGTCTCCCCAACTTGCATAGTGGGCCGAAACGAAGCAAAATGATTTTTTACAAAAAGAAGACTCATGTCTACTGCCCGGTCATCAAGTAATCAGATTTAGGATATTGAACAGTGAACAGTAAGACACCAGTGTACATTTTTGGTCTACAGATAGGGATAGCCATTTTAACCGCTCAGACACAGACTGACATGGATTTTGCTTGCTTCGAGAAGTTCAGAAACGATTGTGACTTGAATTTATGCACGTACGCGAAACCACTTTGGCGCCACTGTTGACGAAGTCACATCGCAAATATGTTTTGACTCGAGAAAATAAGCCGTGGGACAACAGATCTTTTCTGTATTTCAGTGTTATGCAAACTAATAGTATCCGAAAACGTTTTGATGCCAGTACTTCAGTTTTTTGCGAAAACTGGGTATGGACAGTAAAAATGTGCAAGCAAATCTTCAACGAAAAACGGGGACGGGGAAAGTTTCACGATAGCAACGGTAAAATGCAAAGCTGAAAAAGGCAATCGGCTGCTCGAAAATAATTATTTAAATCAATCAATCAAAGGCGAAGGAGTGGCAACGGCAAAGCAGGCCGACTCATTCATTTTGCGGTAGTGTTATCTGTGTTTCCATGATAACAGTCAGGATAATCACTGATAGCTGAGCTCATCTCCGTTTACTTTGCTTCACTGCACAATGCGCTGCTTATTAGAGCGCTGGAAAAGAGATGATAAATTGGGGCTTGATAATCGAGATGTTACACCTCAACTCAAACATTGTAATGGCGAATGTATTATGCCGAAGTGGCAAGTGTGCAACGCCGATTTAAATTATTTGATTGAGATGGGGAACAAAGTTGTCAACGCACCCAGGACAGTGGAAGAATATGGTCGCAGTATGCAGTATGTTTTCTCTCACGCCGATGTAATTGGAAGGGGATCGTTCGGAGTGGTCTACAAAGCCAGAGTTATAAAGCGTGGTATTTATGCAGGAGGTTTCGTAGCTGTCAAGGTGGTCCATTTCGGTGGTCATTTGGAAACTGCTGACAACCGCGACAGCTGGACGGAATCCCTGAAAAGGTTAAGAAGGCTCACCGAACTGGTTAGCGAGCACCTCGTTGCTTATCATAAAATATCCATCACCAAAACTTCCGGGGGAGTGACCGTTGAGCTGGCAATGGACTGCCACAAAGGTGACATTAGCCACATAACTCGCATTAGTCATTTTGGCTTGTATTCCGGATTGTTTCTGACGCAGACAAATAATTTTTAGGTGACCTTGCTTCTATCTTAAAAGAAGCTGAGAAAAACGGAAATATTCTGAATAGTTACCAAAAGATCATCCAATTCGCTAAGGACATAACCCAAGGACTTGAATTCTTACATCAGAATGGCTTAATTCATGGCGACTTGAAGCCGGAAAACATCCTCGTAAAAATTCTGAATGGTGACCGCGAAAAGCTGCTGATCGGTGATTTGGACGATTTAGTTGTGATGCAAGGAAACACAACTTGTTCTGCGGATATTTCGCATTTGCGCGGTACGACACGCTACATGTCACCAGAAATGCTAAAAAGGTTTTCTCAGGAAGGGACAGAGGCGCCGGGACGGAAAACTGATATTTGGAGTATGGGATGCATAATCCTGGAAATGGCCGAATGTCGTGAAGGACAACATGCACTCAAAAAACGACTAGCGAAAGATGGAAATATTGTGCATGCTGGTAATGGTCTCACTCATCAACGGTATGCCACGCTGATAATTGACGGCTACGTGCCACTGGTGGGCGATCTCATTGAACAAGACTTTGGGGATCTCATCCGGCGGTGTCTGCACCCAGTTAGCACAGACAGAATTTGCGCAACAGCGCTTTTGCAAGAGTTACGGAAAAAGGAAGTTATGATCGTGTTTCTTGCGTGCAGTGGGTGCTCCATTCAAAATTTACTGATATTTGATCCCTCATCTCAATGTCTTCATGTTCGAGGAACGATCAGTGAGCCCACACTTCCAGACCTTACATCGCGATACTGGTTTCAGTCAGCAGCATCGGAAAAAGAAATATTATTTATAACCAGCTTCGAGGACTTACCGGTGGAATTCAGATTCTGGGATATAAGCAATGGAACTTGCCGTAAGCTAGAGCCTTCGTTGAACATATATTATCCCATGGGCCCGATAGTGGTAGATGACAAGATCTATTTTTGGGACTATTTCGATGTATTTCAAGCAATGGATGTTTCAACTGGCAGAGTTAGCTTTCTCAATTCGACCACAGCTTAGTAAGCCAAAAAATTGACCATTAGTGATTACATTTTGTAAACATGAGATAGCAAATATGTATTATGTATGTTACGCAACTTCATTACCGCATTTGCAGTGCTGACTTAGCTGCCGCACAAGCAGTGGCCAAATATGATGGATACATATTTTATGCGACATGCCTGACCCTGTTCCGGTATGATACCACAACGGACAACTGGGAAACGCTGCCCGATCTGCCCGAATGGCGAACGCACTTTGCAATGAGCGTGGTGAACGGATACCTACATATTCTGGGCGGAGAGATTCGTGTTTCCGATGCAACATTTCCAACTACTGGCTGTATTCGTCTGAATCTGAAAAGTGCCGCGTGGGAAGAGATGGCGCCACTTCGGCAACCGAGGAGCCACCATACAGCATGCGTTATCGAGGATAGAATATTCGTGTGCGGTGGCTTAGACGCTGCAGGAAGAAACGCACTGACTATAGAATTAAATGATTTCAGAAAGAGAACAGGGTGGTTGACCATCGCCTTGCTTGAAAAGGATCAACAACTGTTGTCGAACTTTGCTACAAAATTCCAAATTTCAAAAACGATAATAACCGCCATTTCTATCGACGTGGATCACGCCGTTTCTTCAAACCGTTTTACAAAACATGGATTAGAAAAAATGTCCTGACAACGCTGTTCTAAAGATAATGTTGTACTTACTTTGACCATAAACAGTAAATTTAATCTACGGGCACATTACCATGCTACTTTCTAGTCATTGTAAAAATTAACTTCTCTCCACTCTTTGGCTTCCAGTAAATCATAAACACGATAAAAAATTTTTAGCATTCGGTAGCACTGAGTTTACCAGAAGGTACAGATTTATTACAGAATATTTCTAAAATGTTGGTAGTTGTGGACTTGTAGGTATTTCGATCTCTATGTTTATGGGAACCGATAGCTCCTTGCGGAAAAATTTGCATGAAGTTAGAAAGTGTACGAAATTCAGGGGTACAGAGTTTTAAAATGCAGACAGTAAAACCTGCCTATACATACACCTGGTAAACACTATACTGTACCTACTATAATTATTATACAATTAGTTATACTATATATAAAACGTTTCGGAATGGCTATTGGCTAATATATGGTTTCTTTCTGGTATATATCCATTCTAAAACGTTTTCTTACCGCAAGCAATTCAGAACGAAAATTCTTTCAGTATAATAGTATAATAGTATAATAGTATTCAGTCTGTGAATCTTGTGCACACTTTTAACGTTTTGATTTTTATATAATTATATCATCACAAAAAGATGATTATAGCAGATGCTAGTTTCACTTTCTTGTTTTAGCGTTAGGCTAAAGCGGTGCACTTCTTTTGTTATTGTAGCGGATGCGAAAACTCAGGGCGTGCTGCTGACGATAAATGTTTTTGATGCTGCCGGCGAAAATTAAAAATTCATGACGTCACTGAACGATTGTAACTGGCTGGCCTTTTTCGTCCCGTTTAGAATCTTGCCGTGCTCGGCAGCATGGCTCTGGCAGGCAGATTGTGATGTTACCAAAATCTTTAAATTTTGGCAACATCGTTTTGGGGTGTGGGGGGAAGCTGGGGGTTGTTGCCAAATATGTCCGAAATTCAGATTATGTTTGTGTCATTGCTCACTTATCTTCGTCTTGCAGTTACGGATATCGCAGTTTGAATTTACAACTTTACCGTGCAGATTTCTTTTGCTTTTCTCGTACGCACATGTCTTTTTTTAAGTAGAATTTCCTGCTTTTGAAAAATTGAAGTTGCTTTGGATAATCTGGGCGGATACTGAATTAACGCTGCAACTTGAAACATGCCGCAGACAGCAGCTTGTTGTCGCATTCCCGTCGTTATTCGAACAGATGCAAACCGAAACCTTGGTTTATCTTGAATATGACATGAAAAAGGTAGTTCAAATTTAAAATGCAAATGAATATTGCGAGTAACTCCCGCGAGATCATACCAAGTATTCATGCACCTTGGCACGAATTTAGTTACTTGATACACACAGCTGTACAGAGTTTTTGCCTAGTCAGCAACACTCAGAAGATTTCATCAGGGGCTTCAAAACGTCGATGATGCATTTACCTTATATGCAGCAATCCAAACTTTTGCAACCATCGGCATACTTCGCCCTTGCGTGCAGTTTAAATATCGGCAAGCCTTGCAATGTAGCCTTGCCTTTTAGAAGCGATAATTTTTTAAACCATAATTTGGCCTTCAGCTCACTAGATACACCATAAAATTCAAACATGTCCGGTATCCACTTACGAGAGGACGACCCGATCCACAGCTGGTTTAGTCGAGACTGGAACACATTCTGCGCACCACTTCTCCGCATTAGCGGTTATTTTCCATGGTATTAAGCGGACAAGCACAGCCAACGGTTCTCTATTCGTCTAATCTTGATCACTGCCGTCCTTGTTCTGGCAAGTGTCCCCGAAATAATCGCCCTGATAGATGCCATATCCGTCTCCACGTCAGACATCCAGGGCAAAACGCCACTGGTTCTAGTTTTCTTTATGTTTGTGCAGTTCCACTGTTGTTGTTTTATGATGCGGTTCATATTTCCTTTTTCCACTCGGAATCTAAACGCCGCCGTCGCTGAACTGGAAGAAGTTGTGCAATTTTATCCAGTTTCAAAACAATGCAGACGACGCATATACTATACACTGATTAGTCAACTGACCTTTATTACTGTGTTGCTGTTAGTTCTTGTGGTTCTCCATGTCTGTCAATTCTCTTCTTCGCAGACCGTTACATTGTCCTTTATTAACTACGAATTTCCCGTGCATCTCTCCCTTATCGTATTTCAGTTGATTCCCTCGATGCTCGTCGGGTTCGGCCAGTTTGGTTTCGTCTTTCCGTATCAGTATATTTGTCTGTGTTTAGCCCAGGCGTATCACTTAAACAATGCGTTCATAACAAGTCTGCAACAGCAAATTCAAAGCGGCGAAACCGCGCTTACGGATATTCTCGAGCAGTTACAGTTATCGCGCGAAAGGCACTGGAAACTGACAAAAGTCACGCGGAAAATTGATTATGTTTTCTCTGCTGTGTCGTTTTTCCACACAATATTCGACGTCTTGGCTATTGCGCTGATGATCGGCATCGCTATGGGGGGTCCACTAAAAGTCTCACTGGGAGTGTTTGTTAAGAACACGGTGGTGGATTGGGTGATTCTCTTGGGGTTTGCCTGTGGCAATGCTTTTCTGCTGTTTGGACGACTTTTAGCGGCTGCATGCCTCAATGTTCACGTAATTTTCGCTATCAGATGCAGAATTACTAAAACGTTTTACATATTTATTATTTTACATGCAGTATAAATTTAGGCACATGGAATCGTTGAGGCGTATTATGGGTTGTCAGAGATATCAGGCAAATGGAGGCATCAGATCGAAGGCGTTACCAGCAGCTGCATACAACGTATTCGAGACAGTCCAGTCGGATTTACAGCTTGGAGACTGTTCCTGTTCGACAACAAGTTTATCATTTCTGTAAGTACTATCGGAGATCACAAATACAAATACACGCCAGAATTCCATTCATAATTGTTTCCTTGAATTCTCCTTTAGGTTATCGGAGCGCTGTTGACTTACTTGTTAGTTGTGTATGAAATTACCATAAAAGATGGTCCGCAATGCTATGCTGATAAGACCGTGCAGGAAGAAAAAAAAGAGCGTACTGTATGACTGATGCTATTATTATGTTCACTGTTACAATGTACACTGAACGCCTCTGGAGGCGACGCGAACAATTTGTTAAACATTCCAGTTCTTATTCCGGTGTCTTTTGTGGCATTTTGCCTGCTAAATTTCTTTATTTTGTTTGGTTCACCAATATGTACAAAACTGGTGTTGCTTTATGATTGCTATGTTGTTCTTCGCATGTAACATAATGATGGCAAAATTAATAATAATGACATGAGACAGAACGTATGCTTAGTTGTAGTTATTTCCGGACAGAACGTATGCTTGGTTGGTTTTCTTTTCTGATAGGAAATATTTACGATGAACCCGCTAGAGTGGTTGCAGGCCTTTAAGTTAGGTCGGCAGTCGGTGGTTAACTTTCAAAATCTTGCATCGATTAGCAGGCAGCAAACACATTTGTGTAAATGTTATTTGGGAGTAAACGTCACTACACACATGTACACAGAATACTTTGTGGCTCTTTATCCGAAGTCAGAACGGCACATGCAGTACTAACCACGCAGGCCTGCTATTCGTAACCTAAAAATCATGTCTGCAATAAATTTCTTTAAAAACTTGATCCTTGTCGTAAAACTGGTTATCTCTCAGCCATAACCGTAGCTTATTTCAAATTTGTCACAGGACGCTACTACTCGCATCAGCCCTTTGACGGTATTTGCGCTAGATCAATCAGGTTTATTAGCACCTCTCTGACTGTCGCTCTGTCAATGTTCTCCTTGAGACACCGGTGGATACAGCTAGCCAGGTCCATGGGTGTGCCCAAAGGGATAACCGGGATGAACCCGGCAACGACTCTGTCGACAAACTCTTCCTTTCTGCTCACATCACCCATAAAGCGTTTGTCTCCCAAAGCCATATTGCGACAACCTTTATCACTGTATAATCCCCAGTACAATAAGTGGCCATGTCCACCAAGATGCATCCTAAACTCCACGTGTCTGTTTTCAAACCAACCGGTCGATGGGGCCTGTGAATCGCTTTAGTAGCAATTCGGACGACATGTAATGGATTTCGGGCTTGTACTGCGATATGTCGGTAGGTGGACCCGGAAGATTGTCGTGCAATTCATGCAGACTTCCAGACCACCGACTACCAGCTTATAACAATTATCCGCTTTTCGTTCTATGAAAATATTTCCGGGTTTTAAATTTCTATGAGTGGCGTGGTATTTATGAAGGTAATTCAGGGCATCCGTCATCTGCATTCCAAATGAATTAATTATGGTCTATAGACAATCCACCCGTCTGCTTCTCGTCTAAAATTTTCGATAAACAGCCATCTGCAAGGAAAAACGTTAGAGGGCGGAAACCGACGCTAATAAGTTACTTATCGATGTACTGCCGAAGTGCGCACTACACGTTTATGTTCTGCGTTGCCGATCTTACCTGAACAATAGTCCATTATAAAATCAGTCGTAGTTCGTTCGTTCACTGGAGGCGACACAATAATATTAAGATAAGTAAGCAAGATGAGGGTGACGCTCATTATTAGAGAGAATTACAATCATTATTAGCGTTGTCCCAAAAAAAAAATAAAAAAGCGTTGTCCCAACTTGCATATTCTATGGAGAGTTATTATGATCAGTGTCACAGGTGCCCCCAACGTTGTGCATCATTTTCTGATTCAGGCAACGAGACAACTTCAAATGTTCGCTGCTCTTGACTACACGAGATGCCGCACTGCGTCACTGTAGCGAGTTCAACATAAGCCAAAGTGCCATAGCCAATGATCCGCTTATCACGTTTCTTATACAGTAAAACCTTTCTACTACATACTGACATGCACAGCGCTCGTTCACGGATTCCGGCTCCGTTCTTCTTCTGTTGGACCGATTTGCCAACTCGCGTACTGCATCCAACCGCGATATTTCACGCGCTGGCTTGAATTTAATTACTAATTAATACACACATTCGTGCAGAGTTTCTGCTCAGTCAGCAACACTCAAAAGATTCACCTGAGCCTTCAAAATGTATTACTTTTATATACCGTAATCTAAC